AAAACATTTTAAACAGGACTAGTCCTTTAATAAACAGAAAGAAAGTATTTGTCGTCTTTTCCTGAACACTTCCTGCAGTGTGGGCGATGTGTAACATTACTGGCCCAGTAGATCCACAAGCAGTTCTTGTTTTGGGGGTTCTTGTGTATCTGTCCCTGTGGGCACCTACGGCTTCTTATTTCTGCTAGCACAGTGAAATAAAATTTTCTATATGACATCTGTGTTGGTGTGAAAGTAATGATGTGTTTAAACAAATAGTTTTTATTAATGTAAATATACGTTAATGCCTATTCAATTAATAATATTTATAATTTTTATGATCAGATAGTATAAATTTAAAAGCAGTAATACATACCCGTTGCAGATCACTTACACAGGACAAAAGGGCACAAAGAAGCTATGGCAGGGAACAGTGACTGAGTCACTTTCCCATTGCTGGGATAAAATACCTGGCACCCAGAAAGTCAATGAAGAGAGGTTCATTTTGGCTCATGGTTTTAAAGAGTTCAGTCCATGGTTCTTACCTGTCTTGGTTCCAAAGCAGAAACAACATGGTGGAGGAAAGCTGCTCAACTCTTGGCAGCTAGGAAGCAAAGAAGGGAGGAGCTGGGGACAAGTATGCTGCCTTGGAGGTCACTTCCCAGAGACCACATGCAATGGCGCAGAGTAAACATTCTCATTCCAAAAGAGAGACGGAGAATAGAAAGTGAGATCAAAGTAAGGCTCTAACCCAAAAGGGCATCCATCAGATCTTGTGTTTCCATGTCCAGCACACAGGACATGTTGTGATGAGAAACAGAGAAATCAAGGGTGGAGCTGGGAGGAAAATAAACCCTTCCAGGACATAACACAGAGACTCCCCTCTTCTGAGCAGACCCCACCTCCTAACTGTGAGTCAGCTGTAAGTCCTTGTCATCCAGTCACTTTCCAGAAGCCCCACCTTTGAGCTCTTGAGGCTTGGGGTGGGGCGGGCATCTAGATATAAGCCATAACAGTAACTTTGGGAAAGCTGTTTATTGTTAGAGGTCTTTCCTTTCTAGCCCTCAGTGTACACATGACTTCCTCAAGTGACTCCTCCTCCATGGATAACTCTGGTACGTGCTTCACAAGGGGAGAGAATATCAAAAAATAGATGGAATCTGTGTTGTTTACCATTCTGTTTCTGGAACAAAACATCTCACACCCACACCTTAAGGGAAGACACATATTTTGGTTCACAGTTTCAGAGGATTCAGTTCATGATATACATCCCGTCAGATGGGTGTGCCAGAGAGAGCTGCTTATGTCATGGCAACTGGGAAGCAGAGTGAAGGAGGAAGAGCTGGAGTGGGGAGAGGAAGGGGCTGGAGACAGGAGGTGTTTTTACAGGGTTTGCCCCCAGTGACCTACTTTCTCAGCACATTCATCTGTGGAACCATTGAGAATTAACCCATTGATTCCAACAATTCAGTCACCTTCTAAAAGTACCCCCTCTGAACACAGGATTCTTTTGGGGGGGAATTCTTGATCCAGACCACAACAGAATGATTAGTGTGATATCCTTTTTAAGCAAATAGAAATAACTCTGTATCACCAGGCATGGTGGCACATGCCTGTCATCCCAGCATTCAGGAGGCTGAGATAGGAGGATTGCTGTGAGTTCGAGACCAGCCTGGGCAACACAGTGAGTTCCAGGTCAGTCTCAACTACATAGTGAGACCCTGTCTCAAAAAAAAGGCTCTGTGTCATCTCTCTCCTAGGAATAATTACCCTTGGAGTTACAGGGTTAGGCAGCAGCATGGGGGCCTGTCACAGCAAGTCCAGGAGACTGGTTTCTCTTGGAGTTATGCCATGTATGGGCCCTGGTGACTCTCTGCTGTGGCTCTGACCATCTCCTAAATGAAAGTCTTCCTTCTACTTTACTTTTATATGTACATTTTTTTCCTGTATCTGTTTTGTCCATCTGTCTATCCATCCACCCTAAGACTGAATGTTTGTCTTCATCCCAAATCAGTGTGTTGACGCTCTGACCCCTCCAATAGAGTGGTATTTGGAGAGTGAAGCCTTTAGGAAGAATTAAGTCATGAAGATGGAACACTCTAGAATGGTGTTAGTGGCCTTATTAGAGGAGAGAGGAGAAATCTCTTCCTTCTCCCCGCTTCCCTCTCCTTCCTTGTCTTTTTCTTTCCTCTCCTCCTTTCTTATCTATCTATTTTCTCTACCACATAAGGTTCCAAGAAGATTGAAACCCAGGAAGAGAACCTTTATCCAATCCTGACCTTTGGCTGTGCTGGCAATCTGATCTTGGATTTTTAACTTCTAGAACTGTGAAAAAAAAGTTTCTGAGGTATAAGCCACCCAGGCTGTGAGGTTATATTACAGAGACTCAACTGACCAGGACACTATACACTTGTTAGTGGGTATTTTTATGAAAATACCCAGGGTCTAGGCACCTAAGACGCAGACAATCCAGTGATCCCACCTAGGACTTCATCTTTGGGACCTAGAGCTCAGATGCTGCCTTGGCTAGTTGGGAGCCTATTTAGGTGGACATTACACAGATGCAGAGGGCCTTCCTAGAAAGAAACTTGAACCTTAAGACATGTTTCCCTTTTAGTTTCAATTGTTAAAATCTACAGGATGGACTTGGGGTAGTGCTAACCATGTTAGGGGTCAGCAAAGTATAAAGAAACGTTGACATGTGATGAAGACTACATGACGAGGCTGTGACTCAGGGAAAGTGCTGGGCAGGAAGACGTATCAGGGACGTTTGGCTCTGCCTCTGCAAGGGGCTCTGCTCTGAGTCTGTTGAAACTCTGTTGTCATTGTGGTGATTGCTGTCTTCCGTGATAGAAGTGGCCATGGCATGAATCCAGAGGGTTGAGCTTTGGGAATGGAAGCCCATTGGGCCTGCGTGGTCCTCCTCACCCTGAAGAGCTCTTTTCCTGGGCACAGGCTGAGCTGAAAGTTCTGGCAAGGGTCAGAGGAGGTGTCGCCTTTCACATTTACCTCTGTGGTCCCTTGGCTCTAGTGGTGGCCACAGTGCTGAGCCAGGACAGGAAGAGCACTAAGAGAATGACCCGCTCAGGAGGCACCCGCAGGTGGCATCAGGTGTGGACACCAGGTGTCACGAGAGCAGTCACCATGGAGAACCCTAGCCTAGGAGGGACACATGGTCTTGAGTCTCTACATGATGAGAACTACTGATCTGTGTTGAACCTTTGTGTAGAACAAGCCTTGTGGGAATCATTGGAGAAGACTGGGAGGCAAATTAGAAGTAGACTAGGAGACTTGGAGTTGCATTTTATTTTATTTTATTTCTTTTTTGGTACTGGAGATTGAACTTGGGACCTTGCACTTGCGAGGCAGGTGGCAGAACCACTGAGCTACATCCCCAGCCCCGGAATTGCATTTTAAGCTTTAATGTCAAGTGACATCATATCTGAATCTGGGAATGAAGACATGAGTCCCATATTTGCACTCACTGGCCACCTGCAAAACTTTGGATGTGCCTATTTCTCCCAATCATTCAGGGTTTTTCAGAATCCCAAGTTTGAATAACTTTCTCAACAGCGTGACCTGTGGATGGGATGAGATACATTTTCTGAGGCGCTCGGGGGGAACCAATGAGAACATCAGACACATCACAGAGTCCAGTTGTGGAGGTGACCTCAGGGTGCATATGAAGGAGAGCACAGCATGGCCTTGGAGTCAGAGGCCAGCGCCCAAGGCCTTGTTCTGCTCTTTCTGCCTGTGTGATTTTGCTCAAATTATGTAAACTTCCAAATTGTTCAAAGTATTTAAACTTCTGAGTCTCATGTTCTTCATGTGTAAGACAGTGTTTTGTAGTGCCATCCGTATTTTGTAGAGCACCTGTGAGGATTAAAAAAGATCATGAGCATCAGCCAATCTGAGTCACAAGCACCAGTTCCAGGTGGTTATTGTAATGATTTGTATGCTAGCAGATTAATTGTTCGCCTTCTTATTTCACCAGGGTTCAAATTTATACTGTGATGATTATTTTTAAAGATTCTTCATATTAAAAACAAAAAGCAAAGGAAAAAGAACAGAAAATAGCTTGGCATGGTGTTGCACGCCTGTAATCCCAGCACTCGGGAGGCTGAGGCAGGAGGATTGCTGTGAGTTTGAGACCATCCTGAGCTACAAAGTGAGTTCCAGGTCAGTCTCAACTACATAGTGAGACCCTGTCTAAAAACAAACAAACAAAAAAGGGACAGAAAATAACCTGTGACACCAACTTTCTCCATGTACCTTGCACAGTTACTGGTGGGCAGCTGCACCTTGGCTTAAAGTAGTCACATTACAGAAATGCACAGTGTTAAAGCAATGTGAGTAACATCAGAACAAAAATGTTTGTCAGAGAAGTAATATTTATTTCAATAATTTTTTTTCTAAAAGTTACATTTACACATACAGTAAATTTAAAGTAGAAGAGGCAACCAGAACAAACCCGGAAGGAGAGGAACACCGAGGGCGAGGCCTCCATGAGCTGGCTCACATCTGGACAGTGCTCGAGTTTTGTGCAGAGTTTTTGTTTGAGTGCTAATTGTTTGAAAGAACAATGAACCTGGCATTTGAAATAGTATACTGTTACGGAGGTATACTGCTATGTGTTTCAGAATTGTGCTTAATACATTTAAAAATTACTGTAAGAGTATTCTGTCGCCCTGGAGAAACTTTGGAAAGTGTAAATAGAAAATGTAATCGCCTGTAATTTCATCAGAGATAACTACTCTGACTTAAGAAATGTATTATGCATATATTTAAAACAAAAACATAATCATGCATTTATAATTTGCATTTCTTCAACTAAGCAATATATTTTGAACATTAACCTGTGCCATATAACTTTCTATTTTATTTTTATTGTCACAAACTTACATTATAGGAACAAACCATAGTTTAACCAGCTGAGTATTATTAACCTTTCAGCTTTGTGCTAGTTTTCATCCATTACAAACACGGCTGCAGACATTTTTGTGATTGTGATTTTGTTTCAGATGAACTTTGGATCAAGTGTGATATGCAAAATTCCAAGGACTGTTTGATACATTCTGCAAGTTGCCCCCCAAAGAACGTTACAGTGTGACACTCCTTCCTCTAGTGCCTTGGTGAGTACTTTTCTGTTTCTTAACACTGCTGGTTATGATTCCTGTTAAAAAATTCTATATAGGTCAAATGCTTAGTTATACACTTGTCATCATTAGTTGTGTGATTGGCTATACCTTCCTGTTTGTTGTTGTTTATTCCTAGCTGGCCAAGGTGTCCTTCAGGACTGTGCAGATGGTAAAGTGTAGGGTTCAGGGAGGTGAATATAGAAAATGACTATGCTGTTTGCTTTTGTGGTTTTGTCAACTTAAGGGTTTACTTTTCATAGCCCCTCTTTGTACAGATCCCATACAATTCTTTTAGTGAGTATTCATATTTTAAATTGCAAAGGAACTGAAAATTGATTTCACTTGGAGGTTCCAATGTTCAATTGAATCCGTGATTTATGCTGGTTCAGGAAGGGCTTGCCAAAGTTCAGGATCCCATAAAGGTGTATCACCTTGCATTATTCTTGCTCCTTTCATCTGCAGAGCAGGTGGAAATAGGCAGAATAAATGTAAATATTGTTATTCATCATCCAGAATCCTTGGATGGGGAATGGAAATGGCCTTTCAAGTTCCAGTTCCACAACCTCATCAGTTCAGAGAACTTCAAATTTCCCCAGGCGACCTGGCACAGCAGGAAGATTTCAGATTTAGTCTTAGAAATGTGGGTTTGAATCCCGATTCTGCCACTTACAAATGTAAGTAGAAGGAAAATGTACCCAACTTTGGGTAGCGTCAGTGTTGCCAGCTCTTGAACTGTGGTACTTGTTCTGTCGGAGGTCCCTTTCTTCCCTGGCCCTTGATGGCTTTCCAGGGTCACTTGTAACCTTAGCTGGATAGAGCTGCCTAGAGCCTTTTTCTGCTGGTTATTTGTCATATTCTCTGTTCACTGGATCCTGATTCCTCTTCGGGTTGGCGTTTTGAAGCATGGCATTTTAGGTTACATCATTTGAATTGAAGAAGGACTAGGGTGAAACAAGGTTGTGACCGCTCACTGTGCTTTGGTGGTGTCCAAGCAGAGGCCACCAGGAGCCCAGCTGTAATCGGAGAGTTGGACCTGGGGAAGAAGACCCCACAGTGTGGTGAAGCTGAGGCACTCAGTGAGTGGCTGTCCAGAAAAGTCTGGCTTTGGGGCTGGACTGGGGGTTGGGTCAGGAAGTGTCTTTGTCGGGACTGGGTGCTTTCAGAAACCAGCATAGCTCTGTGATGACATCTTCTTCACAACACTTCCAGGGGGCGAAAGTAAAGTGAGGCCGACACCCAAAGGGCAGAGGAAGCAGCAGGAACTCACATCAGCAGGACGTGTCTGTGGTTGGCACCATCGTTTGTCTTTTGCTCAGAGAAGAAGGTGGGGTCTGCTCGCTGTTTCTCGTATCACGTTGTGGTCACTGATGCTGGCGATGTGGAAGCCTTTGATATCCAGCAAGATGTCCACTCCCAGGGCTGATGCTCTTTGCTGTCAGGCAGCTTTCTGTCTTTGCGGCAAACACCTGAGGAAATCACCTCAGGGAAGGAAGGGCCCGTTTTGGCTTGTGGTCTCAGAGGTTTGCACCCTTGCTTGCTGGGCCCTGTCACTTTGGGCTGTGGTGACACAGAGCACATGGTGGGAGCCCGACGTGGAGGAGCTGCTCACCACAAAGTGTCCAGGAAGCGGAGAGGGAGGCCCGGGGCCCCTAGATCCCCTTCAGGGCCAAGGCCCTTGTGACTGACTTCCGCTGGTCCTGTTGCCTGAAGGCTCCTGCCACTCCTATGGCTCCTCAGGCTGGTGACCTGGCCTTTAGCACAGGACATTGGTGATTTCTCCATTCAGCCCCCTTCCCTCCTATCTTCTGTGTCCTCTGTCTTCCTGTTGGAAAGGGAGTTGAGCCATAGCAGCTGCTGCAGCCTTTCTGTGATCATGAGGACAGGGTGGAAGTCATCTCAGACCGGGCGTCTTAGATCTGCAGAAGCAGTCTGGTGTTGCCAACTCTGAATTTCTCATCATGGGAAAAAGTACACCCTAATTTAAAAAATATACCCCGATTTTTACCTGTAGCTGGGAACATCCCTAAGAATTAGGATTCCTCTTTGTTATTTCTTACACTAGGCACTGTCTGACCACTTAGTATTTGTGATGGCTCAAGCATATTTCACGTGGAAGTAGAATTTGGCATTTACTTCTCCTTTTTAGAAATCAGGCTTAGGCTAAGTGAATGAACTACTGTTCTTTCTGTTTTATAAGTTTCAGACACAGGTACCTTCTGAGCTTTAGAAACTGCTTTATAAAAAGAAAGTGTTAGAAGCCATCTAGATTATTTCAGCAGAAAGAAGTGTGGATGTGTTTGCGGACTGGATTATACGGTTGTGAGCTTTATCGCTGGGTAATTGTGGCTTCACATCAGGGTGGCCCCAGTCCCCTTTGGGACGTGTTAAGCCTAACAGTGGACCAGTTGGTTTTAATGATTATTGACTTAGAGGTAAAAGAGCTCCTGTCCCCCTAGGGGGATAATTCCCTGGTTTCTCACTGCCACTGTGGTTAGGTTAGACCCTGCCAGACAAAACAATGACCGGTGAAAACTGATACCATGTTGGGAGGTAACGATGAGGAGAGTGGGCAGTTACTACTGATACTCAGGGGCAGGAAATGAAGCCACAGGGCCAGCTGGGTCCAGGGCATAGCCGATGTCAGCTGGAGTTCTTAATGAATACGTGCCATGTGCTGGGAAACTTCCTGGATTGATAGCTGGTATTTATATATTTGAAATCTGTGCCCCTGAGTGGGGTGGTGCACAGCTGTAATCCTAGCACTCTGAAAGGCTGAGGCAGGAGGATTGCAAAGCAAGTTAGAGCTAATCTGGGCAACTTAGAGACTTAGTGAGATCCTATCTCAAAAATTTAAAAGTCTCAGCAAGAAGGTCCTGGGTGTAATCTCTAGTATCGCACGTGTACACACACACACAAGCTCCAGTGGTCAAAATAAATTTTACTCTGTCCAGTAACTGTTAGTTATCCTACAGGTGCTTCACTTAAAAAGTTCCAGCAACTTAAACATAGGTAAAAAGTAATCATTCAAGCAATGATTGAAAATGTGTGACAGTTGGGCACAGTGAAGGTTTCTCCTCTGAGACACATGGCGACAATACAAACAGCAAAACGGTTCACAACCTGAGTTTATACCCTACACTTGAAATGGTTCTTAGAGGCTGGTTTTCCTCCAGTTCCTGTAGGCAGATGACAAACACACATCCGAGCTGTGTGCAAACTGGGCTCCTCAGATGGTTCTTCCTTATGGGTCTGTGCCGAAACTCGGATCTCCATGCTTCGTGCTGGGTCCTGTGTATTTCCACTCGGTGTGACTCGCAGAGGTTTGTTAAGGAGGAACATGTGGACCCCTCCCTGTGTGGCCTCGTTTGGCCTGATCATCGCTGTGCGGACTCCCCAGACTTCCTTAAACTCGGCATTTCTGCAGGCGGTTCACTTTTTGACAGGGTCAGCAGCCCTGCCTGGAAAAGATATCGTAAAACAGAGTTAGAAGTGTGCTTGGTTTTCTTAGTTTGGGATTTTTACGGTACTGTTGATCTTCCTGCAAAATTAAGTTCTGGCAAAGTATGTGTTTGGAGGAACTTTTTATTTTCTCTGAGAGAATAAATGAATGGAAAAGGATTTTACTAGGAAGTTCTCTCTACATCCGAGGGTCAGGAAAGTGGCTGTTGTGATTCAAAAACATAAATATTAAGTTGGACGCGTTAAAGTTGCTTTGAGAAATAAGGGAGGGAATGTAAGAGGCGTGAGCTTCCTTCTCTGGATTGATGTTTGAGATAACCGCTTCGAGGAAGTAGGGGTTTCCCTGGGAGACAGGAGCAGGAAACGTGTCTGAAGTTGCCAGGACTTAGACCCCAAGGCACCGAATGGCACCCTGCAGGCTGAGGCTGTGTCCTGGAGTTGCCATCCCTCAGGCTGCGTGGTAGCCCGGAGCCTGACCTCCTTGCTCCCCATGCTGCCCTGGTGGCTCCTTGTTTAATACGCACTCACCAGGTGAACGAACGATGGGGCCCTGAGGAATTTTCAGAAAAGTAGTCATTAGTTAAAATTGAAATTTCAGGAATCTCACTGAGCGTAGAAAAAGAGACAGCGTTACTTTGCTAGTGTTGCTGTAGCCAGTTACCTCCAGCAGTAGCTTCAAAAACAACGCACATCTCTTGTCAGTCTTCTAGGTCACACGCGCACTACACGTCTCACTGGACTAAGTCAAGGTGCTGTCAGGGCGTCCTTCCTTCCTGGAAGTCGTGATCGCATCCTGATAAACTGAATCACTTCTGCAGGAGCCCCTCTGCTGTGCCCGTGACAGGCTCTGAGAACAGGATGTGCTGTCTCCTGGGGTTGAGGGCACTGCATCTTCCCAGGACCAGCAGGAAAGGAGGCAGGGACAGGAACACGGCTCCTTCACGAACCCATTTTGCTTTTTTCTTTGACAGAGAAGGAGGCAACATGCTGCACCTTCGTTGTGCTCAGTTGTGACCAAATGGGTGACTTCTGGCCAGCAGGATTTATGCTCCCCCTGCACACCCTGCCCATAAATGCCTTCCAGGCACAGGTGGTCTCTAGGGCCTTCCTTTGCTCTCTTCTATCCTGGGATGGGGAGGGTTGTGGAGTTTCTGGCCAGAAGCAGCTGGATCCCCCTGCGGGACAGAGACCGCCACAAAGCAAGCTGAACCACGATTTGCATGAGAAATAGTCTGTGTGTGTGTGTGTGTGTGTGTGTGTTTGTGTGTGTGTGTGTGTGTGTGTGTTGTGTAGCTGCTGAAATTTGGAAAGTATTTGCTACTGCAGATGTTGTGTCCTGACTAATACAGAAATTTGTAGCAAGCAGTGGGGTGCCAATGTAACACAGATAAAAAGCAAAGCATTTGGTGGCAGTGACTGAGTATGTGGCCAGGAGGCAGGACCTTCACATCAGGGACTGACGTGCAAGAAGTTAGAGGAGAAAAGCCTACAGGGAGCTGCTGTCTGGAATAACGGGGAAGGCAGTGGTTCTCAAG